ACAACCATTTAAATATGAAAAAAGCCAACACAGTTCTAGGCTGCATAAACAGAGGGAGAGAATCAAGATCACGTGGAGTGTTAATACCACTTTATAAGGCCTTGGTCAGGCCACACTTGGAATATTTGCATTCAGTTTTGGTTCCACGATGTAGAAAAGATGNAGGCCACACTTGGAATATTTGCATTCAGTTTTGGTTCCACGATGTAGAAAAGATGTGGCATGTGTGCCATAGGTTTGCCATCATGGATCTCATATGAACCTGTTCGGCGCCTTGAAGTCAGGCCAGCCCTGGTTCTTCTCATGTTATTCTGCCCGTTGCTGGATCAAGGCAATTGTCATTTGTGTTTCCTTTTGCCACTTAACCTGCTGTCTTCACGAAAAGTCAACCTTATCTTCCTTGGATTCTGACGTTTCCACTTGTTACTCGGGGGTTTCAAGTAAAGGAGAGCTGATTAAGGACGCCTTACGGAAAACAGCAACGACAAAGAGAGCAATAAGCTTCGCGGCTTTACAGAAGGAATCCTTCCCCAATAAGACAGGGGGGGGGGGTCACCTTTTTCCTTGATGGGTGGAGATCCAGGTTTGAATCCACCGGAGGAATCTGAGAGAGGGAGGGAGAATGATGGACACAAGCGCTTCGGGTTTCACCCACAATCATTTAAAAGCACAGGTTGTTGTTGTGTCCAACACTTCGGGACCCAATGGGATACGGAACACCGGACCCTCCTGTCCTCCACTCTCTCTCCCAGGGTTTGAGCAAATTTAAGGAAATAAGGAGAAATCTCCTGACAGTGAGCGACCTCCCATTCAATATGCCCCTCCATCCGCTGCAATTTAAAATTATGTTTTAAATTTTACCAGCATTCGTAAATTTTGACAGATTTGAACTCTGGGCCCGATCTAACAATATGAAACTCAATGAAGAGAAAAGTAACGTCCTACACTTAGGCAAGAAAACCCAAAAGGACACATATAGACTGGGGTGAAACCAGGCTTAATAGCAGGAACTGGGAGAGGGATCGTGGAGTCTTCCTGGACAACCAGCTAAATAGGAGCCAGCCGTGTGCAGCAGCAGCCAAAAAAGCCAATGCAATCCTAAATTGCATTAACAGAAGGATACAATCAAGATCAAGGAAGGTACTAACACCACTCTATAAAGCCTTAGTAAGGCCACACCTAGAACACTGGATCCAGTTTTGGTCACCACACTATAAAAAAAGAGGTTGAGATTCTAGAACCGTGATGGCGAACCTATGACACGGGTGCCCGAATTGGCATGTGGACCCATGTTGCCTGGCGCATGCAGCGTCACCCATTCCTCTTCCAGGTTTCTGGCATGCATCAAGCAGGAGACCCTACACCATTTCTGACAGATGGCAGTCCAGTCTCTTCTTGAAAGCCTCCAGTGATGAAGCTCCCACAACTTCTCTTCTCTTCTCCTCTGTTCTATTCTNTGCCACAAAGAAGAGGTAGTTAAACTATTCTCCAAGGCACCCGAGGGGAGAATAAGGAGCAATGGGTGGAAACTAATCAAGGAGAGAAGCAACTTAGAACTGAGGATAAATTTCCTGACAGTGAGAACAATGAATCCATGGAACAGAAGTTGCCTCCAGAAGTTGTGAATGCCCCAACACTGGAAGTCTTTAAGAAGATGTTGGATAGCCATTTTGTCTGGAACGGTGTAGGATTTCCTGCCTAGGCAGGGGGTTGGACTAGAAGACCTCCAAGGTCCCTTCCAACTCTGCTATTGTATTGTATTGATCCATATTCGGACACTTGGCAACTGACTCATATGTATGGACAGCTGCGATCCCCTTTTGCGACAAGCAAAGTCAACGGAGGGAGCCAATTCAATTAAGCACCGTGTTAGTAGTTTAACAACTGCGGTGATTCACATCACAAAAGTGGCAAGAAAAGTCTTAAAATGAGGCAAAACTCACTTAGCAGAAATTTTGGGCTCAAGTGTGGTTGTACGGAGAGAGAACTACCTGTAACTTTGTATAAAAAAGATAATTCCTGGAATTTTCTCCCTTTCTGCCTGAATCTACGGCCATTCGTCCCCCCAATCTTAGGAAAGGGAGGGAGACGCCGACAATTTTAAGTTTCTCCTGCAAAGTCTGGAGAGAAAGCAGAGTTGAAAACTGGATTTGGAGCCAGGGTGTAAAGGGGAACTTGAAGTGCAGACAGAAAACAAGGAGACCTAATTGTGGCTGGCGTTGCCCGCTGATTTAGTGGCTCTCCAGGACAAAGGAAGATGTCTGCCGATTTTTAAAATGTTTGTTTATGAGCTTGCTTCTTGTTTACCTTAAGGGGGATTAGGACGCTGTCCACTTTCGGATTCCGTCCTCCAAGAGTGACAATTTGACCGCACGTCATTGTTTTCCGTAGCTTTAATTACAGTCTCCGAATGCATTTCGTATCTGGCCAACCCTTCATTTGGGGATTTAAGCAAAACAAACGCAGGGCCACAAACCTACAGTATATAAATCTAAAAGGGATGCTGCATGGGGCTTTTCAAGGATAATCCCTTCCAGGGCTGAATTAAAACAATATTAAGGAAAACAGGATGCTCCAAAAAGAAACACCGTCTTGAGGAAATAAGAAATGGAGCCAGAGAGTCACAGAAAGTAATTATGCTGGACTGGAGAGAAAAAAATCAACGATAGCACTCCAAAATTGACGCTAACAAAGGAGTAGGCATACAATCCAATTTAACAAAATTAACAGCCTGAAAATCAACTATGCTGAAAATAATATACAGCTAGTTCTTGACATACGATGTTTCATTTAGTGACTGTTCAAAATTACGACAACGCTGAAAAAAATGACATCACTGTTTTTTACAATTGCATCCCATGATCAAAATTTGGACACAGTATCTGGTAAATAGAATAGAATAGTGAATAGAATAGAATATAACAGAGTTGGAAGGGACCTTGGAGGTCTTCTAGTCCAACCCCCTGCCTAGGCAGGAAACCCCTACACCACTTCAGACTAATGGCTATCTAACATCTTCTTAAAGACTTCCAGTGTTGGGGCATTCACAACTTCTGGAGGCAACTTCTGTTCCACTGATTAATTGTTCTGACTGTCAGGAAATAGAATAGAATAGAATAGATATGGAATGCAATGCAATGGAATGGAATAGAATATATGGAGTGGAATGGGATAGAATGGAAGGGAATAAATAGAATAGAATAGAATAGAACAGAATAGAACAGAATTTGGAAGGGACCTTGGAGGTCTTCTAGTCCAGCTCCCTGCTCAAACAGGAGTACATATACCATCTTAGATAAGTGACCATCCAGTCTCTTCTTAAAAACCTCCAGTGATGAAAAAGCACCCACAACCTCTGGTGGCAAGCTGTTCCACTGGTTAATTGCCCTCACTGTTAGGAAGTTTCTCCTTAATTCCAAGTTGCTTCTCTCCTTGTTTAGTTTCCATCCTTTGTTTCCCGTCTTGCCTTCTGCTGCTTTGGAAAATAAATTGACCCCCTCCTCTCTGTGGCAGCCCCTCAAATATTAGAACACTGCTATCAGGTCATCCCTAATTTTTTTCTTTTCTTAAGACTAACTGGACCCAAAATCTGCAGCCCTTCTTCATATGGTTTAGTCTCCTGGCCATCTTGATCATCTTATCCTTGACTTACGATCACAGTTGAGCCCAAAATTTCTGTTGCTAAACAAGAGAGTGGTTAAGTGAATATTTCCCTATTTTATGACCTTTCTTGCCACAGCTGTTAAGTGAATCACTGGAGTTGTCAAGTTAGTAACACGGCTAAGTGAATCTTCCTTCTCCAGTGACGTCGCTTGGAAAAGCTGATCACATGATCCCGGGACGCTGTAGCCATGATAAATATGAGTTTGTCAGTTGCCAAGCATCTGAATTCTGATCATGTGACCACAGGGAAGCCTTGAAAACCGTCATAAGTCACATTTTTTCAGTACCGTTGCAACTTTGAACAGTCACCAAATGAACTGTTGTAAGTTGAGGACTACCTATGAAATTGGCTCAGAGGACAAAATGATATTTTGTGTCTACTGGCCACAAAGAGGGTCTTTCACCCTACGACTACAGTCGAGCCCAACATTTGTGTTGGTAAGTGAGACGATTGTTAAGTGAATGTTGCCCCATGATCCATTTGCCAGGGCAACGCCTCACTGGCCAGTTGACTTCGGCCTTCTTTTGAGGCTGTTTTTCACCCTCCGGAAGCCCCCTGAGCACGAAAAACTGGCCCTACGGACAAACCGGAAATTCGGGAATGGTGACTTCCGGTTTGCTCGTAGGACTGATTTTTGCCCTCCGGGGAAGCCTCCTGAAGGCTCCGGAGGTTGAAAATCGCCCCTACGGACAAACTGGAAGTCAGCACTCCCAAACTTCCGGGTTCCCTGTAGGTCCGTTTTTCGCCCTCCGGAGCCTTCAGGGAAGCTCCTGAGGCCTCCGGAGGGCGTCCGGGGGGGGGGGGGGGCTGTTTTTACCCTCCCCAGGCTCCTAGAAAGCCTCTGGAGCCTGAGGAGGGTGCAAAAACTGTGGCAAAAGGGCGGCGGGGTGGTGGTGTTGCTGGCTCCGCGTCCATGCACGCGGGTGTGTGTGTGTTGCGCGCATAGCATTATGGGTGTGTCACGCCAGTGCACAACCCCTCCCCCCTGCGCTCCCCCACTTTTGGCACGGGAGCCACAAAATGTTTGCCATCACTGGCATAGGGTTTCCTGCCTAAGCATGGGGTTGGACTAGAAGACCTCCAAGGTCCCTTCCAACTCGGTTGTTGTTATTCTGATTGTGGTCAGAATCGAGGTCTCAAAAAAGGGGAAAGCTACAGACCCAATTCCATTCGTCTTTTTATTTAAAAAGAAAGAAAGAAAGAAAGAAAGAAAGAAAGAAAGAAAGAAAGAAAGAAAGAAAGAAAGAAAGAAACAAACAAACAAACCACAATAAGGCTGATAGAACAGTCATGCGTTTGGGCCTCCCGCACAAAAGGACCGTTCCGTGATACTCACAGCCAAGAAGGAGATATTGGTAGCACTGCACGGAATCTGCAGCCAGGAGCAGAGGGTGATNCCTATGAAGCGGTATATAAGTCTACTGCTATTGCATCCCGGAAGGAGATTTGCCAGTTTTTAAAAAAATGAAATTGGAGGTGGCATGGTCAGGAAATCATTCGGCTTCAGCGTTTCAGAATCCATCTTGCCACTGCCTCCAAGATCCCCGAGCAGAAACCGGAGAAAGGAGAATGTGCCACGTAAGCTTACCAGGAAACCGTAGAACAAAGTCAGGGGTTGAAGGGTGGGGGGTGGGGGGGTGATGGTTTAATCTTTTGTTTGTTTGTTTGTTTTAACAAAATCCATACTGATATCATTACATTTCCTACAGTCTGAGGGCAGCTGTAATTAATGGATTTCTCCCCTTGCCTTTTAATGCACTCATTTGTCAATTCAAAAGCCGGCACAGCCGGTCAATCAATTTTGATGTATTTAGTAAGCAATTTGTCAAAGAACGGCTGCAGACCAGTTAATATATTAATTCTTGCCATCAGTCTCCTCCTGATTTCTTTCAGCTTTCTCAATAAATCTATGGAGGGGGGGAAATAGAAATGCATCCCCCCCCTCCACATTGACAGAGATAGGAAACAAGCAAGCAAAAAGAGAATATAATGCAGTGAAGGCTAGCCTTTTCGTCCTCGTGCACTGAAAGCGTGCACACGTGCATATGTGGGAGAACTGCGCGCATGCACGGGGGGAGGGTCGTGCACACATGCGCGCAGATCTTCCACATATGCATGACAATGCGTGGTGCAGCTGAGCTGGGCAACGGCTCGCGTGCTGGCAGAGAGGGCTCCGTGTGCCAACGATCGGAGGCGTGCCATGGGTTGGCCATCATGGATATAACACACTATTTTATATCGCTGGCCCTTCCTGCATTCTTGAGGTCATCCTCGACTTACAGCCGTTCCTTTAGTGACCATCTGAAGTCGCAATGGCACTGGGGGGAAAAAGTGACTTAGAGCCGGTCCTCGCATTTACGACCACGGATGCATCCCCAGAGTCACGTGATTATAATTAGATCATGGTAACCGGCATTTATTTGGGGGGGGGGGGTGTCGCAGCATCCCAGGGTCACAGGATGAGCATCTACGAACCTTCCCAACTGGCTCCCATCAAGCAAAGGTCAATGGGTGAAGCCGAATTCACTTAATGACCACACAATTCCCTTAACTGCAGTGACTCACTTAGCAACTGTGGCAACAATGGTTGTTAGCTCATTTGTAACTCAACTCTCTTAAAAACTGACTTACTGTATGTAGCAGCGGAAATTTTGATCGCAATTTTTGGCCTACCTGTACAGGTAATCCTCGACGCGCAACAGTTTGTTTAGTGACCGTTCAAAGTTACAACGGCACTGGAAAAAAGGGACTTACGCCCGTTTTTCACACTTACGACTGTTGCAGCAGCAACCTGATCACATGGTCAAATTTCGGACGGACGGCAACGGACTCGTATTTATGACGGGCACAGGTGCCCCCGGGGTCACGTGATCCCCCTTTGCAACCTTTCGACCAGCAAGCCCAGTGGGGAAGCCAGACTCACTTAAGAACCGGGTTCCTGACTTATCAACTGCTGTGATTCCTTTAGCGACGGTGGCAAGAGAGGTCTGTAATAATGGGGGCACAAAACTCACTTCACAAATGTCAAGAGAAAGTTGGGGCTTGATGGTGGTCGTAAGTCAAGGACTACCTGCACAGTGATTTTTCTAGATTTAGACTTCAACTCCCAGAATGCCCCAAGTATAGCCACAGCTGGCTGGGGAATTTTGGGAGTTGAAGTCCACACATCTTCAAGTGAATGAAGTTGAGAAACATTGTTCTACTAGGATCCCCTTTTAACAGATTTAACAGAGTTGGAAGGGACCTTGTAGTCATCTAGTCCAACACCCCCCCCCCCAGCTGCCCAAACAGGAGACTCTACACCATTTCTGACAGATGGCAGTCCAGTTTCTTCTTGAAAGCCTCCAGTGATGAAGCTCCCACAAGCTCCAAAGGCAACTTGTGGTTCCATGGGTGGATTGCTCTCCCTGTCAGGAAATTCCTCCTTATTTTCAGGTTGAATCTCTCCTTGAACAGTTTCCATTGTTCCTTGTCTGGCCTTCGGGTGCTTTGGAGAATAGCTTGACCCCCTCCTCTCTATGGCAGCCCCTCAAATATTGGAAGATGTTCTCCTGTCTCCCCTGGTTCTTCTCTTCGCTAGACTAGCCAGGCCCAGTTCCTGCAACCGTTCATCCTAGTCTCCAGATCCTTGATTATCTTAAAAGAGATTCAGATTAACAGACCTGGAAGGGACCTTGTAGATCATCTAGTCCAACCCCCCGCCCAAACAGGAGACCCTACACCATTTCTGACAGATGGCTGTCCAGTCTCTTCTTGAAAGCCTCCAGTGATGAAGCTCCCACAACTACTGAAGGCAACTTCTGTTCCGTGAGTTGATTGTTCTCACTGTCAGGGAATTTCACTTTATTTCCCTGTTGAATTTCTCCTTGATCAATTTCCATCCATTGTTCCTTGTCCGGCCTTCAGGTGCTTTGGAGAATAGCTTGACCCCCTCCTCTCTGTGGCAGCCCCCAAACATTGGAAGACTGCTGTCATGTCTCCCCTGGTACTTCTCTTCACTAGACTAGCCATGCCCAGTTCCTGCAACCATTCATCCTATGTTTTAGTCTCCAGATCTTTGATCAGATAGAGTCAGATTAACAGAGTTGGAAGGGACCTTGTAGGTCATCTAGTCCAACCCCCTGCCCAAGCAGGAGACCCTACACCATTTCTGACAGATGGCAGTCCAGTCTCTTCTTGAAAGCCTCCAGTGATGAAGCTCCCACAACTCCTGAAGGCAACTTCTGTTCCGTGGGTTGATTGCTCTCACTGTCAGGAAATTTCTCCTTATTTCCAGGTTGAATCTCTCCTTGGTCAGTTTCCATCC